AATACGTTGTGGTCTCTCTTCGAACCGAATCCTTTTCCATCAATTTGACACAAATTAAATAAGTGGTGGATGAAAAAAAAAAAAAAAAAAAAAAAAAAAAAAAAAAAAAAAAAAAAAAAAAACAAATAAATAAAAAGTTTGATAAAAATTATTTCTGTTAATTTTTAATTATTATTTATTGTATACATTACCATGATCATCTTCCCAATATCTCTTCTTTGGCATTATTTTTTTTTGTTAAAAACAGATCGGCAAATCGGTAATATCTATTTCTTATAAATTTCGACTTTAACCAATCAGAATTCTCGCCCATGACTAGTATTAGTGATATAAAGATGACTTCTTGTAATCACCTTTTCGAAAAATATTTTAAAGCTTTTTTAATGCTTCTTTCACACTTGGAATTTTCTCATGGCACAGATTGAATAAGTTGTTAGACAATTAATGTGGGGAACTACTTATTGTTACACACATATAGTGGACTCATGCAGGAATCGAATCTACTAAAGAAATATGTCTTTAAACCATTTAAGACCTTTCTTGTAACGCAAAAGTCAATAATAGAACAGTTACTGCGTCGTTATGTATTTTCAAGAGTGAGGAAAAACAAACAAATGAATGCAAGTCATTATTTTCTATGTTGAAGTCAGTGTTTGAAATTCAAATTTTAAATCCTGTGCGGAATTTACACAATTTAGAATTTTATATGTAAAAATTTGTGCGGATACCTTTTTTTTTTATGCGCGGAGTTTCAATTTTTTGTGCTAGCGCACATTCCCGCACATTCCCGCACATTCCCGCACATTGAATTTCAAACACTGGTTGAAGTATGATCCATTATACTAAATACCGCTAAATATTGTATACTGGGTCATTGTATACTGGTTATCATATCAATGCTAACCCTAAAAAAAAAAAACATGGCTTTACATAGCAATGCTTAGTATTGCTTGAGCGATCCATATTGTTGGTTTATTTGATAAAACTGTTTAAATTGTTGCATATTCCTTAAAAGTTTCTTTAAAACACATTCATTCAACTCAATTTTTGTAAATTGTTCTTTTATCCTTGACGAATGTGCTCTCTTCTAACCACGCTTTTTAAAGCTATAAAAATTTATATTGTTTCCAACAAAAATCGCAAAAATCTCACCTTTTCATTTTAATAAGATTTCGGGCAAAATCCATAATCATGGCGAGTAATATGCGAGGTTTGACCGTGTTTATCGCGGATATAAGAAATTGTAATTAAAATTGAGTTTATATTGTTATTATGTGTTACGTGTTTGCTCTCTTTTAATATGACTTTTAAAGTTAGATTTCAACTTATAAATAGGCAGAGTGAGAGAACTAGAAGAAAAACGAATTAATAAAGAGATGGCAAACATTCGCGCAAAGTTTAAAGGTATGCCAATAATTCTATTAATAAGTATTCGTATTTATTATATAATCATCCCAACACTACTACTACTTTTTTTTTTTTATTTTTCAAATTAAAGACGGAAATTTAAATGGTTATCAGAAGAAAAAATATGTGTGTAAATTATTATATATGTATATACTTGGTTGGGACATTGATTTTGGGCATATGGAGGCAGTTAATTTAATTTCGAGTAACAAATACAGTGAAAAACAAATTGTTAGTTATTTCAATAATTTATGTTAAGTTTGCCGTTTGTTATTTTCTTTTATATAATTTACCTTATTAATTTGAAAACACAGGGGTACCTGGGAGTAACTCTTTTAATGCATGAAAATCATGATCTTGCGCGATTGGTCGTTAATTCAATAAGAAAAGATCTTGGAGAATTTAACGAAATTTACAATTGCCTCGCTCTGCACTCTATCGCCAATATTGGTGGCAGAGAAATGGCAGATTCTTTGGCAAATGATGTTCATAAGCTTTTATTATCACAGTAAGTGTTTGTTTATATATTTCTATTATACCTTAATTAAGTTATGATGTCTTCCCTATAATATACTCACTTTTAAATCTATTTTTTTTAAAAAAAATTTGAAAATTTGAAAAGAAATTCTAAAAGCTTTGTTAGAAAAAAGGCTGCATTGACATTATTACGTTTATACAGGAAACATCCAGACGTTATTCCTGCTGCGGATTGGGCAGAGAGAGTCATTACGCTTTTAGATGACAGTGATCTCGTGAGTTATTCAATATATATATTATTATTATCATTTCATTTTTTTAACGAGATTGTAACATTCGAAATAAGTGAGAGATTTAATTATGACATTAAACAATTTTTTCTTACTACAGGGTATAACATTATGTGCTACAAGTCTAATAATGGCGTTAGCCCAAGATAATTTGGAAGAATATAAAGGCTGCTATGCTAAAGCAGTAAATAGATTATCAAGGGTATTTTAAAATTGATTTACTTTGAATTATTATAATCAATATTTAAATATTTTATTAAGCATGTTCAAATTAATCGCGAATTCTGGAATTCTGACATTATAGATAATAATTGACAAAGAATATTCACTTGATTATGTATATTATAAAGTTCCAATACCTTGGTTACAAGTTAAACTTCTTCGATTATTACAATATTATCCTGCATCAGGTATTTATTTTTTATTAAATTATTATATTAAAATTTCTTATTTATTCTATTCCTTTTTTTTTTTTATAACAGAGGATCGTGATACCAGAAATGATTTACATAATATACTTCAAACAATACTTAATAATTCTCAAGATACTCAAAAAAATGTTCAACATAATAATGCACAGAATGCGGTATTGTTTGAAGCGATAAATCTGGCTATTCATTTAGATACTGAATCACAAATTGTTAATCAAGCAGCGGTTTTACTTGGAAGATTCATTACAGCCAAAGAAACAAATGTTAGATATTTAGGGTTGGAAACAATGGCACATTTGGCTGCTTGCTTGGATTCTTTAGAACCAGTTAAAAAACATCAAGATACTATTTTATTATCTTTACGTGATAAAGATATTAGTGTTCGACGTAGAGGACTTGATCTTTTATATAGTATGTGTGATGTAACTAATGCAAAAGTAATTGTAACTGAATTATTACGATATCTTAATATTGCAGATTATGCTTTAAGAGAAGAAATGGTACTTAAAATAGCAATTTTGACAGAAAGATTTGCTACAGAATATCAATGGTATGTGGATATAATTTTACAACTTATAAGTACGGCGGGAGATCATGTAGGTGAAGAAGTATGGTATCGAGTTGTACAAATTGTTACAAATAATGAAGGACTTCAAGAGTATGCTTCAAGAACTGTACTCATTCATTTAAAATCACCAGCTTGTCATGAAAATTTAGTTAAAATTGGGGGATATATTTTGGGTGAATTTGGACATCTTATTTCCAATGTACCTGGCGCTAATCCCATAGAACAATTTCAAGCCATTCATTCAAAATTCGGGATGTGCACTCTTCAAACTCGTGCATTACTTTTGACCACATATTTTAAATTCATTAATCTATTTCCAGAAATTAAAGGAGAAATTTTAACCGTTTTTAATCAGTATCGTCATGCATTAGATTCAGAATTACAACAGCGTGCATCCGAATATTTGTCTATGGCAACTATGCCTAGCGAAGATCTTTTACAAACTGTATGTGAAGAAATGCCACCTTTCCCTGAGCGAGAATCAGCTCTTTTATCAAGGTTACATCAAAAAAATTCAGATACGGAAGATAAACGAACTTGGGTTCCAGGAAGTAAAGAAGCAAATAAAGAAAGAGAAATTAATCTAAAAACATCTTTCGCCCAAAGAAATAATTCTTTCGAATTCAAAAGTAAAGATGAATCTAATGGTAATGGCGAAGCTGACATACTTTCAAGTTTAGATAGTCTAAAAATAAATAATAATAAAGAGAATGATAATAATAATAATAATAATAATAACGATAATAATGAAACACCCGGATCAGAAAAATGGTTTGGTAAATTATTATACAATAATGAAGGAATATTATATGAAAATGATCAACTTCAAATTGGTTTGAAATCAGAATATCATAGTCGTTTAGGGCGACTTGCATTATATTTTGGTAATAAGACAAAAGAAAATTTTATATCATTTACAACTGTAGTGGAGAATATTAATGATCTTATAATCACCACACCACAAAAACCATCAACAATATTAGCACCAGCTAGTCAAACTCAACAACTTTTTCATATCGAATGTCAGGATGTATTTTATGAATTACCAAATATACGAATATCTTATATTTCAGGGAAATTTCATACAATTTGTATAAAATTACCTATTACATTAAATAAATTTATGGAACCTATCCAATTAAATGGTCCAGAATTTTTCGCCAGATGGAAACAAATCGGAGGGGATCAACGAGAAAAACAAATTGTTTTTAAATCCAATGTTCCAATAAACATTCAAGGAATTCGTAAAATGATTTCAGGATTTCGATATGAAGTATTAGAAGGAGTTGATACAAATCCTCATAACGTAGTAGGTGCCAGTGTATTATATACTTCAGAGGGAGGAATGATTGGTTGTCTTTTACGTTTAGAACCTAATGTAGATACACAGGTGAGTCACGTATACACTTTAATGTACTTTAATGTATTCTAAAAATGTGATCTAATGTATTCTAATGTAATTTTATATATTATATTTCTTTAGATGTATCGATTAACAATTCGCACTACAAATAATACTGTAACAAATGAATTTTGTAAATTATTGGAACAAAGATTAATGAATGACTTGATTTAACTATTAAATAAATGCTTAACTAAAAAAATGTATTAATAGTATATTGTATTTTTATAAAAAAAAAAAAAAAAACTTCAATAGGCATTAATAGCAATGTTAATAATTAGATTTTAGATTTTTTATCTTCAATTTTTTTTCATTAAAAAAATATCTTCACATGAATTTTGCAAATGTTGTTTCAATTTGAGAAAAAAATGCAGTCTGTCAGTATGGTGCTGGCTATCATGAAGTCTTGAATAAATAAATATTTTTTTCAAGTAATTGGCCAACAGATATATTTTGTCCTATATGTGTGTTTTATGACATGTGGACATATGAGAAATAAAACAAACCAGGAAAAATAATTCAAAATCTTCACCTTTGTTGACATTCAACATTTAAGTAGTCAATATGTTAAGTCTAAAAGTTCAAATAAATAAATGTCAAATGTTTAAATATATGAAATATATGTCAAAAGTCTAAATTTTACTGTTGCTTAATAAGATCATATATGACATTATTACTGGATGAAATTACCAAGACCCATAATCTATAGTATAGATCACATAAAATAGTTACACAGATTTCATAACATAATATAGTATTAATTATCATTACATTATTTTTAATCTAATTATTATTAGATAAAGTTAATAAATTATATAATAAATATATTAACCAATAGAAATAATGCACAGTAAGGCACAGTAATGACACAGTAGTGTAGATCACCTAAAATATTTATAAAAAGGATCAATGTTCTACCTTAATCCTTTAGTTTACAATTTTATAATTTTGAATTTTGATTATTTGTAACTTATTTGAAATTGATAAATTTAATTTTATAATTTGTAACTTCAAGATAAACACTTGTAAAAATTATCTTGCAATTGAATTAATAAAATAATAAATATTGGAAATATAAAAATAAAAATTATAAAAAAATAATTATTAAATATAAAAATATAATAGTTAATAAGGAAATAATGGATATTATAGGATTAAATACTTGATTGTATAATTGTATAATATTATTATTCTTGAGTTAATGAAATTAATTACAAACTATTATTATAAATCCTGGACTTGAAATAATATTTAACCTGGATGAATGAGAGTAATACTCAACTATAATAAAACTGGAAAACAATTAATAAGTGGATGTTAATACTAAAAGTAATGATAAATTTAAAATATATTAGAATAAATTAGATGAAAGGTCTAATTCCCTTTCTAAAATATTTGAATTAATGGTATCTTCTAAAACTACTGAACAACTGTCTTACCTTCAGGAAAGAACTATAAACTCTTTAAAAAAACTGTTAAGTCACTTTATTGATTTGTCTTCAAGAAGACCAGGAACAACTGGTAACAATTTGATACCTTCTAATGGAAAGGAATCTTAATTATTGCAAGAAGAATAGATGTGAAAATAAGTTGATAAAATTACTAGAAAGAATAACTGAAATTGTAAAGAATATATTATTGTTGAGATAATAATTCTGGAATAAATGTTAAAAACACAAGGGAAACTCTGTCAAATTGAAATTAAAAAGGATTGACAAAGAATGAAAATAAATTGAAAAAGATAGCAAATATACTGAACAGGTGAAATAGACTACATCAAAGAGACCAGCAAGTCTAAAAACTGAATTAACAAGTTGAAAATTTGTTTAAATCAATTAATAACTATAGTCATTTTTTGCTTATATAAATAAAAAATAATTTAGACTACATCAGGAAATTTTTCGGGACGTAAATTTTCTGATGTATTATAGTCTCAGGTATGATATGTAAATTGCAAAACTCAAGTCATTTGAATAATGTATGAATTGCAAAACTTAAGTCACTCAAATAATGAGATGTTTATAGTCTATTTATCGATGATATGCAATTTGCATTTGCTTTATCATCATATGGATAGATTTGGCTCCATTCAATTTTATTACATGTGATAATAAATATTTTTTGATACACAAAGTCATACATTAATAATTTTATATCTGTAATATCATAAAATCAAACTAATCATGTCAGATAATTTTTTAAATAAATAAAAAATTCATTCAAATATTAATTTTTGAGTTTTTTATTACTTTAAAAAATAGTCCTAATTGGTTTTTAATTGATTTCTAATTGGTTTTAGAAATCATTACGGAATCATTTTGGAATTATTCAAATAAGGTTTTTTCTAATAAATATATAAAATATGTAAAAAAAATTTAACTTCTAATAAAAATAACTAATAAAAATCAAATTATTAGTCTGTTTGTTGATTTTTATATATCATGTCAAATTTAAATAAAAATGATGAAAATTTAAATTATGGTATTTAATTTATATTGAATCATAATTACTTTTATATATTATTATATTATCAACTATTTATTAAAAAGTTATAGACAATTATTCAACTAGAACTTTTAAGAAAAATTATCCAACTTCTTCTCAAATATTGGCAAGATATAAATTTGAAAAAAATATATTTGTTTTATGATATAATATACTATTTTTAGGATACTATTCTACAAATATAATAATGATATAAAAAAATTCAAAAGATAGAAGGAAGTATTGGATTCCTGATAACTATATTATTGAAACTAATTTAAAAAATAAAAAACTTCATTATGAAACAAAATATATTTCTAATCAAAAAGTTAAATATATTATTTTTTGGAAAGAAAATAATATTGAGTGAAGTATTTGTAATGAAAAATCTGTTATTGAAGCTGTTATTGCATTTTTACAAGTATTTATGAATTAAAAAAATTATATAATACTATAATAATTAAAATATAAAGTAATATATATTTTTATTTAGAAAATTAATTAACCTAAATCTCAAGTATTAAGATCTTATTTTTTTGAATTTGATATAGAAAAATTACATCAATGTAGATTAGAAATTTCAGTTGGTTCTAGAATTTCAAGAAAACATCTTCTTTTAACAATTCAATTTAAATCTGAACAAAATAAATGGTTTGCAACTTTTAAAAAAAATGTAGAAAAAAATCATTATCATTAATTAAAAAACATCAATTAATAAATACAAAAGAACAACCAGTAATTTTTATTTAAAATATAAAATTAGATTTTAATGGTGAAATTATACTTGCACATAAAATTATTTTGGGATCTTGAAATTACAATTTCTGAAAAAAAAGTTGAAATAGTTTTTCATAGAAGACAAAATTATTTTACTTAAAATTTAAAATTTTTTGATTATCCAGATTTATTCTTTGATTGAATATATATATAACTGAATACTTTTTTTACTTCTATATATAGAATAGATTCTACATAAATCTCAAAAAGTCGAAATATCTCAAAAATTCAAAATCAATTTTGAAAACATATATAGGTGAAACTATTAATTTAATATATAACAAAAATTATGAATCTACAAAATTAAATACTATTGTATGAGCTATACTTGCACGTAAAATTATTTTGGAGTTTCGAAATTACAATTTTGGAGAAAAAAGTCAAAATAGTTTTTTATAGAAGACAAAATTATTTTACTTAAAATCTGAAATTTTTTGACCACTGAGATTTATTCTTTGATTAAAGATATATATAACTGAATACTTTTTTTACTTCCATATATAGAATAGATTTTATATAAATCTCAAAAAGTCGAAATACCTCAAAAATCTAAAATTAATTTTGAAAACATGTATAGTACGAGCATGTAATAAATCTTATTTATCTAGAGATAGTTATCGATATTTAGCAGTAATTGAATCTTATTTAATTTGTAAGTATCATATTGGAGAATATAGAAATAAAATTACAAATATTATTAACAAAAAAATTAGAATTGAAATATTTAATCTTAATAAATTAAATCTTATCAATAATGAATTAAATATATCTAAACAATCAGATGAAGAAATACTAATTAAGAAAAATAATATTGGAACAGGAGCATATAGATCAATTAGTACTCTTCTTGAAACTTTAATCTCAATTTGAAAAAATAATTTGTTACCTATTCTTCAACAAGGAAATATAATTAAATTAAAATTTAGAAGAAATGGAAGAAATGTAGGACATAAACAGAATCATGTAATGATAATATTCTGTTTATTAAATGAAAAAGAAAAGGTCTTGAAACCTGATCATCAATATTGGTAATTAAATTATTTATTATAATTATTAATTATTTTATTAATTATTATTTAATTTATTTATTTATTAATTTATTTATTTTATTAAAATTAAATTTTATTAATTATATAATTATTTATTTATAATATAATAGATTTTTTTTCAAATTAATAATTTATATTATAATTATTTTTTATATCATCAAAAAATTTTAATAAGCAAAAATTTGTACAAATTTTCATGAGTTTTTTTATGTTTTTTTGAATTCGCTCGTAATTTGTAGAACATAGAACAATTTTTTACTAAAGTATTTCTAAGATAGAAAGAAAGGCCTTATTCTTGGCTACAAAATTATATAAGTTTTCATTCTGATAGCATTGATATTCGCAGAGTTATTCCAGTTTAAAAAAAACGTTCATGAAAAATTCAGGCACATTATTTACACAAGATTTTTACAATTTTCACATATGCTTTTTTTTAAACTGAAATAACTCCATGAATACCAGTGTTATCGGAATAAAAAATATACTATCTTGTAGCCAAGAACGAGATCTTTCTTTCTATCTTAGAAATATCTTAGTAGAAAATCGTTTCACACTTAATAAATCATGAGCAAACTTGAAAAACGTAAAAAAAAAGTGAAAATTTTTATATTTTTTAACTTCACTCACGATTTTCGAAACGTAAAAAACTTTTTTACTAAGATGTTTCTAAAATAAAAAGAAAGACCTTGTTTTTGGCTACAAACTGGTATATGTTTCATCCCAGTAGCATCGATATTCATGGAGTTATTTCAGTTTAAAGGAAAAGTATCTGTAAAAATCATGAAAATTTTGTGTGACGTTAACCTTGGTTTACTTTCTAAACAAACTAAAGAAAACTAAGTGACTGGTAATGGGAATTATATT